CTGCGTCGGGTGTGTTGTCGTGCTCGCTACGGGCAAAGACACGATGCTGGCAACTTGGCAGCGCCCATCGCGCCCTTGGCATGCAGCGTCTATCCCCAAGCAGGCCTGGCGTGGAGGCCGGCCTGACGCTAGCACCCGCTGCAATTTCGCACGCAGCCTATCGCCGCCGGTGGTTGCTCTTAAGCGCCAGCTGGCAGCAGACAGCTCATTTGCTGCAGGGACGGAAGACTATTGAATCTTGAATATGTTCCATATTTGGAAGCTGACCACCTTCACCTCGACACCCAGGAATCTGGTTCGGAGACCTTTCCCTCTCCAGGCCGTCAGTAGATAAAGATCAACGAGGACGTGATCAAGACCTCGAACACATGCTCCTACTCCGTATCCAGGAGTGAAACGAAACATGTCACGAATGGGAGAAACAGGAAACACCAGCCCTTAAACCGAGAAACCCGCTGCACAGCCCCTTCGACGGAAGGGCGTCAGCCCTCGATCCATGTTGGAAACCACGGAGCACACATTCAGCAACGATTCTGTCAATCAACACGCCGTACAGAGCACAGAGCGCAGATCTGTGTTTGTGTGTTAATTTTGTTCCTACAGCAAACCACTAAAAAGACCGCTTCTTTCCTGCAGCATAGCCGTTAGTACTCCGTAAGCTCTTCCTGCTCCGGAAGTGCACGGACCCACCGTGGGTGGAATGGCGACGGCGATCAGGGGTAAATCCAATCACCGATCTGAGATACTATCGATAGCAAGCATCTCTGCATCAGCCAAGAATTCCAGCTTTATCATCGTCTACGGCAGGGCACAAACAAACAAACAACCAACCAAACAATGACCTGCCTGGGTAGGTACTAGGTAAACAAGAACACATCCCACATTCTTACCCCGTACTCCGTCCTCCCCATTCTTCACGGACGGCCCGAGTTAGCGTCCATTCTTTAAAAAGAAATCTCCGTCAGATATTGTTATTATTAGGTATCACCGCAGGACATTGCCATTGTTTGCACTCTTCGGAATGCTGCAGCATATGGTCTGACCAAGGTTACATTCACTGATGGCGTAGGTACAGTTTATTGTCATGGCATAGCATGCATGTCACTGGATCGATTGATTATACGATCAAGCAGAAGAATTACACCCTGAGATGATCATGGTCAGCAAATCCTATTATCTGGGAAGGTCTATATCTATTTTGACTAGGATTTAGAACTCCTTGATAAGACTAGATAGCGATGATGATTAGGGTTGACACTAAGATTCCTCTGGATGGAACTGAGAGAGCTACAAACAAGCAACAAAAAGGTTAACATTGACAGGTTGGCATTACTCGTGATATTATTATTGACAGGTGGAGCCTTCATCTCCATTCCTGACAGGACTGTCCACGAGAACTCCATGCTGTGTCTACCCCATTCTCTGCTCAGCAAGGGAGGAATCCTCGAGTAGACGGACATTCATACAATAACCGGATGATGTCCTCATTCCACCATAGTCTTGTAAATGATTGCAAGTTTCAAGTAGCGAACTAGCTCTGTTGTAGATCTTTCCCCAGGTATGGCACCGCTACAAACTATGCATTGCGGAATTTGCAGACAACTCAACTCAACACAGTCTGGAGGACAAACGGTCTTGACAACTATATTCCGTAGTGGGAATTCTTCGCCTCGTTTTGCCGTGGTCCTTCATCTATGCGTTCTATTTGTATGGCGAAAGTAGAAGCAGCGCTCTAGATGATTCAAGTCAAGAAATGGCAGGTTGTTACTCCCTGCTGACATCTAGTTCTATATATATCAGTATTGATATCATTATTGATACATCGCTGTTCCAACCTGTCTAAGAAAGGTACCTATATAAGATATATACTGTCACTAGTCACCGTCTTCTGATGAGGAACCCTAAAAAAAATATAGACCTGAGTTGTGTAATGATCCTCCAATGGCATCATAAATCAGGGAAGTAGCTTCGAAGGAAAAGAAGGCTGTACGATAATGCTACTGTGCCAAGCTTGTTAATCGCATGTTCGAAGTAGATACCTACGATACCTACCCCTACCTACCTAGCTAATCTAGGTACCGTGTTATTCCTACCTAGAAGACCCTATTTTCAAGTTAACTGGTTAGTATCTGCCTCGTCTTTTCTATCTTCTTGCAGTAGGAGCTAATATGTGGGCTTTTTTTTCCCAGGTGTCTTGATAACTTCCAACTGTTAATTGTGTTTATTAATAGCTTATATATATATTGACTCTTGTTGTTAAGTATAGGTGTAGCCTTTTTTTTTTGAAAGGAATGCGAGAGAAATATATAGCAATAATTTCCTCTAATCGATGTTCTGTTCGTCAAAGTAAATATTATTACAGGGAGGTAAAGAGAAAAAGAATGTTTGTGAGTGAATATGATAGTTTTATATTTTTTGGCTTCCCTGTGTGGAAAGTAGTTCTTGCTCATCCAACAATCCAACAATCTAACTATTAATTCATACTGAGAATATAAAATAGACGCAGAAAATAAAAAAAAAGATGTAATCGACTGTCGTCATTGTTCTTTTCTGTCTTGAATCAATGGGAGTCAGATAAAGATAGTTACATCTTCATGTCACATACAACCATCATTCATTCATTACATTTGCGTACATATATATTCAATATGTAGACCTCAGAGAAAGCTTTAACAAGAGAATAGTAAAACAGTAATCATCTATCTCACCAACTGCTTATATTCTCTTTCCAATCTGGTTAATTACGATAAACTCTCGAGGCCGAGACTTTGATGCCAAGAATATACGTGTGAATCCTCAAGTATATAGCAGCGGAGGATTATTATTAGATTCATCCTCATCTTGCATCTGCCATGTAAGTCATTCGGATGAGTCAAAATGTTACCTAACTATGTAGGGCTGACCACTGTCGTGGTGCTTTAGTGTCCCGCCATTCGGGCCCTGAAGACAGATGGATGGATGACGGATGGCACGCACGAGAGCTATCACATCGATCTGAGATTATCTGATTGATCCATCCACGTCATCCCGAATTCCCGATACGAAGAACATACAGTTTCGAAGTCATCATGGAGAAATAACCAGACAGTTGTATTGCTGAAAATCACCTAGATTGTGTGAAATCGAATAGTAGACCCTGGACAAAGTACCCAGCAACATCATCGTTCCCTAGGAGCTCAACAAGTTAAATATCGTGGTCATCATTAAGAAATAGCATGACCGATCGAGAAAATTTCCTTGAGAGTCGGTGAGCCCAGACGCATCGTCTCCACAGTGCGAATCTCCCGCCTTTTTGTCATTGCTTTTTTTTCTTCTGATAGGAGATTTTGTAATCATGATGTGCATTCAACGGCCATTCCCATAGAACGCGAGTAACTCCCACCGGGCTCGACGGGGCGGTCCTTGTCCAGACTGACAACTGTGTGTCACGTCCCCGAACGAGGATCCATGTCTCGTTATAATTGTAAAGAATTAATTGGCCACCAGGTACGGCTGGACTGTAAGACAAATGGCAGAACCTGCACGGCTGGGGAGCCAGATCTCCTTTCCAACCCCGCCTCCAGAGGGGCGCAGTAGCACCGGCTTATCAACGAGCCAGCAGTACCACAGGACGTGGCGACATTTTTATGGGATAAATCTTCAGGCAATGCTTAACTCTGGCAAGTCATGGATACACTTCCAATGGTTGAGGAGATACTGTCTTCTTCTCTACACCGCTCTGAAGTCGAGAGCCAGGTCTGCAGGTAGCATACGAGACGAGAAGAGGCCAATGTCGTACAAGCTGTGCCAAGACGCTGTGCATCCGGGCGCTTTTCTTGCATAGGACGATATGGCATGGCCCACTGGCCAGCTGGTGCAGCGCTAGGCTGTGTGGCTTCGGAAGGGGATGCAAGGTTGAGCGTAGCCGACAAACCATCTTCCGTGAATAGTACATGTCGTTCATGTCTGTTGGATGCTATTTTAGACGGTGTCATCTGAGTAGACAAGCTCAATTTCCCAGCTGTAGAGTGTGTAGTGTCCACAATCCAATCCAGATGAAGGCGGCCACGTTTGGCGACATTATTGCTGCAAAGCCAGTTGCAGGCTGCGCACGTGACCGCCAGACCGCGTCAATTGCTTACGACGCGCCAATCGAAGGAGATGGTTGCACCAGCGATCATGATGATGACAGCCATCTTCAGGCCAACTCTGGGAATCGGAAAGGAAGGGAAGCGGGGAAAAGAGGCACCGGCCGGAGCAGGCCATATTATCCACACACGGACGTCCGAAGCAAGGGGGCTAGCTTGAGCCAAGGGAGATCTGGCACCCGCCAGGCGCTCTGGATCGACACCCGTCACTGGTAGCTAAATTCGAACTCTCCACCCTGACTGACATGCCTAAAGTTCGGACAATTTCACCATTGTGGAATCCTATTGATGCCAAGACCATCCCTGCATACCAAGACACTGCCCGATGGGCGCGAGAGAGGAAGTCCTCGAGGTGTCAGCGAGAAAGACGGTGTCAATTGAGCGTTTGTAAGTGGGCGCAAAGGAGGGTGATCCAGCCGACGCGAAGCCCGTCATGTTGAGCATCACTTTTATTTTTTTTTTGTTTTGGACTCCGTCGAACGGTGCCTAGGACGGCGTCTCGTGATCATGATCGAGCGATGACCCACCAATTGCAGCTGGAAAAGCAATTATTGACGGGAAAATCATGGGAGGGGAAAACAAACCAAGGAGCAACCCAGGGTCCTACCTAGCATGTGCCTAGGTAGATGCAATCAATTTTAGCCCCGCTGTCTCTCGTCCATTAGGTACGAACCTTTGTCGCCTGTTTAGAGTAACGCCAAATCAATATGGATAATGGGAAGCCCAAGTCTAGATCTGAACGCCGATCCGATCGTACCGCCGTCCGGCGTCGTGTTAGACGCTTAGACTTGCATGGACTAGGGAGGCGACCGTCCGCCTCTAGCTGATCATTGAATGAATTATCAGCTCGAACCTCTGTAGGCGACAGCAGAAGGTCGATTTATTAGTGAACTAACTAATCGACCGTGGTCATGATGATCGACAGCATCAATGAATGAATCATCAGTAGCGAGAATGCGAGATCTTACCCCTCACCGTGCCGCACAGCGCGGTGGATTTCTCCCGTCTGAACCAAGGGGCGGTCTTCCTCGGGGTCCTGTTAACCCTTGGGCATGACAAAATCAGCAGGTTGGGGCGCATCGCTTGGAATTGATGTCCGAACTGGCACTGTTGGATTTGCACTGTAGATGCTGTCGATGTGTTGTGTGTGTATGGACGACGTACAGCAGTAGTTGTTCGCTCAGCCTTTATCAATCGACCGCGCTCCTGCTCGTTCAGCTGGGCGCACCAAGCCCTACGGTGATCGCTTAGCCTGTTGGGGCGGTGTGGAGGAGGTTAGCATGCAGGCTCGGGCGGGCCCTAAGAGAAGCCTAAACGGGGGAACTGCTAGGCGGCGACCTGAGGCAGCGACGCAGGCCCCTCCCTTTCTAGTGCTGCCAGCCTTGGGCCTTCCTGTGGGCCGCCCGCGGCGTACGGTAATAAGGTAAGGTAAGTTAGCTGACGGTCTTGGGGCAGCCGCACTAGGCCCCGGATACCTGGGCTGTGGCGCAAAACTCTTAGGGCAGCCACGTACCTTGCCATCTGGCGGCCCCGACGCGTACTGTCACAGCGTTACCGCCAACCAACCCAAACCCTCTTTGCGTCGTCCATTCCGCTCACTTATCAGACGCAGCTTTTTTACTCACTGCCTGCTCCTTGGAACGGCTGCCCATCGCCGTCGTTCATGCTTTTTTTGTCTCTTCTCCCTTTGTGCTCCTTGCCCTTCTTATTCTCCTTCGTTGCGCCCCTTTGCCTTTGCCTGTTTGTCTTTTTCTCCCCCTTCGCCTTCTCTTTTCCCCTTCCCGCTTCGAGGCCACGACGTGGCGCGTGAGACAAAGACTGCCTCTCCACCGTCACCTTCCCAACACCCCCGGGTCAACGGTCTCTTGTGTCTGAGACTTTCCGTTTGTGTGACCTTCGATTCTCTCTTTTTCTCCTTTGCCCGGCCTCCTGCCAGCCCTTTGTCTTGCCTTGGCGGTGGCATTCCACGCCCGTCGACTAATCACATCACCTCCTTCGTCGGCACTCCTTGTCTGGGCCTGCGCGACAGACTGCATTCCTCCTGCCTCAATCCCTCAACCCCCTTGCCTCGGCGAATCATCACTGCTGCCCGGGTCCTTCGGGTTGCCCACCCTTCTGGTCGCCTCTCCACACCGTTCACGAATGCGATCTGCGAGCATCGGGATTCCTGGAGCATGCACGGAGTCTAGTTCAACCCCACGGTACATGCAGGCCATCTCGTCCACGGCTGCTTGCTGAGACTCTGCTGGCAAACGAAACGGGACTGCCGCTGTCTGGTTAGTGATCTTACCTTGCATTACCTCCTCTGTTCCATCTCTTTTCTTTAATACCGTCCTCCCAAAAAAACTTCCCCGGCGACCCTCCCTCTCCCGCGTTCTCTCCCTCGTCCTTCCTCCCTTCTTTTCTGAACCTGTACAGCTGTGCTGACCTGGGGGTCTTTTCATCCCAGGTTTCCTTGTGAAGGGGTTTCCTGATCCTTTAGTTCTTTTCGCTCCCTTTGGTATGTTCCTGCGTTCGGTGCTCTGACCCCTGCAGGAAAGTTCTTTATCACGAACAATGACCACGAGCTAACTGGTAGTCTTTTTATCAGTCATATATTCGCGTGAACGCCTTTCGGGCTCCTTGCAAATACATTTCGAGCCAATCTTGCCGGCCCTCTGCGCTTGTTTAATTTAATATCAGATACTGGCCGTCTTTTCGCACATACATATTTGATAATATTTTTTTTTGACGCACATCAGCCTACGGGGATGGCATCCGCTATGGCAGCGAATGCAGCAACTGTGCATAGTGTAAGGGTGACCTTGATATCGACAGAAGTTTTGGTCTGTGGCCAAGGAGTTCTGATGGCTGACATATTGATGGCAGGTCCGCTCAAACAGGGTCGCGAATATTAGCTCGTCTTCTACAATGAACAGTGATCGAACACTCACAGCTCACTCCACGACAATGGGAAACGGGTTCGGCAGTGGCAAGGCCAGCTGGAACAGTAATATATGGGGGAACAATAATCTGGGGAACACGTTCAACACGGATGGTGCATCTGATAACCTGAGAGGTAAGATCTACTGCCAGGCCAATCCTTGACCCGCCAGATCGGTTCTGGTGGCTTTTGAGACATTCAATAAGGCTGACATGGGGATCCAGACAACGCCTTCGAAGGGAAATCCGGATCGGGTTCTCTGCTATCATCGTCAGAATCCGATGGATGGACCGGCCGTCCTAACCTGCCTTGGAGTACCGTCAGCCCGACCACATCGTTGTCCATGGGTCAGAACAAGGGCATAGCAACATCTCCGGTCGAGAGTCGCAGCGGTGATCGAAGTGCAGCCGCTAGGTCGGACACCGACGCGACGTCCTACTTCTCACTGCCCCGAGCTTCCGCCATTGGTCACACACCAACCGGTTCAGTTACCAAGACATACCTAACTTCCGCGTCAGAGCCGTTTCCCTCCTCAGCGGCAGAGGCAATTTCCTTTGGTAGCTTCGGCAGCTTTAGAAACGAGGATGTAGGCCATCGGCAGGTGAATTCGTCGGCCTTCGCTGGCAACGCCGTTACATCGGCATTTCAATCCAAACCCAGCCTTGTCACGGCTAGCCGAGAGCCTCAACGACCCGAGGATGTTATCGGGACAATGAGCATGCCGTCGTTCTCTCAGGCTGCTTCTGAGTCGATCTCGGGCGGGAGCCGACAAGCGATATCAACTCCTTACTCGCACCTGTCACACAATTCCGTGTCATTGACCTCTCAGAGGCCTGCGCACTCCTCCCATCCTTCCTTTCATTCGGAAGGCCAGGCACTTGAGAATCGCTTTAGCAACGGCCAGCTGGATATCAACACGGGACTCAGCCGACTGCAGCTGAACGACACCCAATCCTTTTCCGCCCAGCAGAATCCACAGAGACCTGGTTACGTGTCCCATGCATCGTATGATGCATCTTTTAATCGGTTCAAATACCAGGTCCCGGGAGATGAGGGTAATTATCCCCCAGTAGCGTCGTACACCCCCGACGCTCCCGTTGATCTCCCCTTTGGTTATCAGTCAATTTCGAGAATGAGCGAGAGGGAGTCAACACCGCCAGGAGACTTCAGTCGAGGAATGAACAACCCTTTCTACTCGGCAGCAGGCACTCCTCCGGTTGCGGCCACTCAACTCCGGCCGTCTTCGGGCAATCGCTTGTCTTCCCATATGAGCGATGGACAGGCCGCTCTTCTGGATCGGAAGCTGCGTGGTTTGCAGGAACAGGACTTTACCCAGACCGCAGCGAATCCATTGCAGTCGCGTCTGCCTTTCCCTGCTGCGTATGATCTCGCCGGCTACTCCGCTGCCAGGCTGAATCCCTTCGCCGGTTTCTATCCTATGGCGCAGTTTGGTGGTCTTGGTGGGGCGGCTGCCATGGTTCAGCGGGGACCCCATCGCGATCATGACCCTAGTCAGGTGGTCCGCAGCCCGCTTCTCGAAGAATTCCGAAGCAACACCAAGGGCAACAAGAAATATGAGTTGAAGGTAAGATCTTGCATTTGCCAGCGGTGAACATATATCGTCTGACCCATACCAGGATATCTACAATCACATTGTCGAGTTCAGTGGCGATCAGCATGGTTCCCGTTTTATCCAGCAAAAGTTGGAGACCGCCAACAGCGATGAGAAAGAGCAGGTCTTCCGTGAAATTCAGCCCAATTCTCTGCAGCTGATGACGGACGTGTTCGGCAACTATGTCGTCCAGAAACTCTTTGAGCATGGCAACCAGACGCAGAAGAAGATCCTGGCAAATCAGATGAAAGGGCACATTCTTGCCCTCTCGACTCAGATGTACGGGTGCCGGGTTGTTCAAAAGGCACTCGAGCACATCTTGACCGATCAACAAGCTGCCATGGTCAAGGAGCTCGAGAACCACGTCCTCAAGTGTGTGCGCGACCAAAACGGGAACCATGTGATTCAAAAGGCCATTGAGCGGGTTCCTTCCCAGCATGTCCAGTTCATCATCAACGCGTTCAAAGGGCAGGTCAGTCGGCTTGCGGCCCATCCTTATGGCTGCCGTGTCATTCAGAGAATGTTGGAGCATTGTGAACAAGCCGATCGAGAATCAATTCTGGCCGAGCTCCACGCCTGTACCGCCAGCCTTATTCCAGATCAATTTGGCAATTACGTGATCCAGCACGTCATTGAAAATGGCGAGGAGAAAGATCGTTCCCGCATGATCTCCGTCGTCATCTCTCAGGTTCTTGTCTTTTCCAAGCACAAGTTCGCCAGCAATGTCGTGGAAAAGAGCATTGAATTTGGCGAGGAAAACCAGCGTCAGGAGATCATTCGGCTTCTGACCTCCCCTAACGAGCGGGGCGAGAGTCCACTTCTCGGACTGATGCGCGACCAATACGGCAACTATGTTATCCGTAAGTCTTTACGTGGTTTGCTTGTCTCCACCCATTGACTGCTGACATCGCCCTACAGAGAAGGTCCTCGGTCAGGTCAAAGGCGCCCAGCGCGAGGCTCTGATTGAACAGATCAAGCCCTTGCTGAGCCAGCTGAAGAAATTCAGTTATGGGAAACAGATCGTGGCCATTGAAAAGCTTATTGCCGAGCCGACTTCCCCTGCCTCGAATGCTAACTCCTCGACGACGCCGCCGGCTTCTCACAAATCCTCGCCGCAACCTTCTCGTCGGTCGCTGACAGACATTGATGGCTGTCCTCCACCAGTAGGCGGCGCAGCCCCGCCCACACCTCCCCCCACAGACACCCAAAGCTGCCATGGGGGTTCTGCGACCGATGGTTCGGTTGATGGGCCTGCGGAGTCCTGCAAAGGCCTGGCGACCAGCTCTGTCGCTGCCATCTCCGATGCGACTGGCACCTCCCACGCCGGCTCGACCGTGCCAGTCGGTATTAATATCTCTTCTGAGTCCAAAGCTTAGCCGGCTCTTGCTATTCCGGTAATGTGCACTTTATTCTGCTTTTCTGTTCAATATTCTATTTTATTCTGGGAGGGACATATACATAAAGGAATATTCAAGGGAGATATATGGGTTTTCGTGTTTACATTTGTGCTATTCCTTTTTTTTTCCTTTGCCGGTATGTACAAGGCAGGGCGGCGCATTACATCGAGGGATGAAGTTCCAACATGTCTGTATCGGTTGGCCTCTTCCGCCTGTCACTTTACAGGTTGTCTTTTATCTTGTCCATGTGGTGGGTTTTACGTTCGATGATTGCGTTTCCTCTGCAATATCGTGATGCGATGAAGATATGCCTCTTCTACACGGTTATAATATTAGTCTCATATCCCGGCTCTGTTGGCGTGAATCTGGCGTCTAATGGATGGAATCTACTGCGAGATCACATTTCGGAGGATTCGGGGAACTGTTAGTGGGTGCTTTGCTCGGAAACTGAGAAGTTGACAATTGGGAAAGGACCACAAGGGAAATGTTAGAAGTAACGGAATGATAAAAACGTGCTTGCTTTGTTATAGTCTCAGCTAATTAGCTTTATCAAAATGAACGTATCCATATAATCGGTTTTATGACTCCAGGAGCAGTATTTGTTATTGCAAAATGCCGTGAGTCTGAGCTGTAGGGAGCGTTATTTGCCTTCAGCGCTGAAAACTGTGTTCTTACTTGCTATTGTAGTCACGTGGTCATACATACTGGCCTATGCTTGGAACTGGCCAAGATTGGCCCCTGAATTTTTTTTTGTACCCCAGCCGGGTTCCAGTTCGGAGTACCCAGAAAAAAGACTCTAATCACCTAGGGATTTTTCTTCAATTTTAAAAAGTACTTATAAACTATATATATATAATAAAATATAATTTTTTTTTTAAAAAAGTAGCTAATTTATAAAAAAAAAAGCTTTAGATTATATAGAGTAGCTAACCATATGGTAGGCTACAGTCATAGAAAATGTAGACAAAAATAGGGTATTGATGACCAGAGAAGGGTTCATCAACCATATGGCAGTATATATAAAACTGGCTAACCATGTGGCATAGTTAACCACATGGATGTTTTGACTTCATGGTAGCTCAGAAATCTGTAAAAAAATATGGCCAACCATGAGGGGTTTTGCACCGTAAGGCCTAGCTGCTTACAAGGGTTTCTCAGCCATGCGGTATTAGACGATAATTTTGAACGGCCATCTAGGGTGTTGCGACTCGTACAAAAAATGCAGCGATACCAAGAGGTTAGCTATTCCCCGCGGTGTGGATTCCCCCACGCCTGGCCTCAGCTCGGAAAAAGTGGCCTGGAATAGATATTAGTGATATTAATAATTGGAAATCCTCCCACCTACCCACTCCAACAGATCAAAACTCATCCTCAGACAGTGCAGTTATGGAACTTTCTAAGCAGAACTACAAATCTTCAAGATTGGGAGACTTCAACAGATGAACTCCCAGCCAAACGTTCCAGTAGACATTCAAGGAGATCACGCCAGTATCAACGAAAGCGACGCAATGTGGATGAGTCTAGCGACGCTGGACGCAGCCACTAATCCGCCGTCATATCCGTTAGTTACAACAAATTCAGACAAATGGAGGGACGAGTCCGCTAAAGGAGGAATTATCACGGACATGTTGAACCTGGAGAAGAGGTGGAAGGATCCTAGACGTAGAGACTTCTAATACATGCCTTCATAAATCTTCGTCTCTCCCTATTTCCGTTGACTCGTTCCGCTCTATCGCCGCGTGTAGTTCGGTCATTTAGTACTTGCTGTAGTGTAATTCTTATCGTCGGCACCTTCATGGAGCCAGTATTAGCTCTACGACAAGAGCGGTAGTACGACATGAACGGCAGATGATAGCATCGCAACCAGCTGCTGTGCTTGTCAGCAGCAACGAGAAGAGCCCGCGGAGTCCTCAGCTCTATACGGATGACCAGGCTAAATCCCTGGACCGTATATTGAGGATTCCTTTGAGTCGGCCGTATGAGATCCTTGATCTACCTGAAACAGCTGAGAAGGGTGAGGTTTACCGTGCTTTCAAGAAGCTGGCTTTGCCGAAAATGCCTACAGCAGTGACTGTGATATTGACCCTGGTTCTGAGATCGGAGATGAGGATGGTGCGAGCGAGGAGGACAATGACGGCGACACTTGGATGAAAGACGCTGTCGAAGACCATGCCACCCCGGGTCCTTATCATCCAGAGATCTATGTGGAATACACCCCGTATATTCATCGACTGATCGAAAATCCTGAGGAGGAGATTTCCGAAAGAGGCCAACGAAAAGATCAGGCAAGAGAACGCCAAGGAGAACTTACCCAAAGAAAGACAGACCGGCTTCTTCATCTTACCTCATTGGGCAGATCATTGCTGCTGAGATGGCTGCCCGGAGTGTGCAGAAAAGCTCCAGTCGAGACGATGAGGCAAAATATAAAAGGGCGCAGAAGACGATCAAACGCGCAAACGATGCGATTGGAGAGTTGATCCAACAAATTGCACTACCCCCAAGATTGGCTGGTCCAGTTCTGGCTTGTCCAAGACAGGGAAACTTCAGTACTCGATCGCCGAACCAGTTTCCCCTGTCGAGGGAAGGCCAGATCGACCCGCCACGGCTATGGACATAATGAAACATATTTGGCAGAGATCTAACTAGAATTCGAAGGCGAGTACAAATACCCCGTATGTGTGAGGTTGCGATAATACATCCATGAAGCGAGCCAGCCCTTTCCTAATCAGTATAGCACGTGATCACCAAACCCTTGTAGCAGTGCCTCAGGAGGTCACCAGACCGTCAACCAATCATGAAGCAGAGTTCTGTTGACACTCCATGTTTACTTTAGTCCTACTTTTCATGACAGACACTACTGCTCTTAAAATAATCCCAATCTTTTCCATTTAAGCATAGGAGAATACTTAACAGAAAAAAGCTCAGCATAGTTAGATGAGTTTTTCTAGTTGGTTGGTGGTGCTAAATTTCTACCTACCTGGAGCTTTTTTCTACCTACTCCAAACTGTAAGCCCAATATAGGGGCTAAGCCTCACTAAGTCACATGATCACAATGTTACATAAGCAGATACCATGTTCAGTTGTCCAGTCTCTCCGCCACAGTCCCTGGAGAATTCAGGACAGCACTACGCTCTTCAAGGTTGCCTGACTGAGGACTCAAACAGACCGGGGACGCGATCCATCACAGTCTTTCACTTCTTCTCTGTGGATTGCCACATGGTCTGAGACAGGACCAGGATTGAGCCAGGTTCGCAGCTCCGAACCCTCCGCCACCACCCCGTGAGCTTCCTTGCACGCCTCCTGCTACATTTACTTATCTCCTGGGTCTCGAACGAAGGGGCCTAAACCAGCCCCATTTTCTTTCATCTACCATTTTCCCTCTTTTCTCTTGAGTCGAGAGTGTCAACTTAACGCAATGTCCTCAAACGTCGGACTACCAACACCCCGCGGAAGCGGTACTTCCGGGTACGTGCAACGCAACCTGTCATTCCTCAAGCCTCGAAACGCCGGCTACGGCGCCCCGTACCCTCCCGTGTCTGTGAATGGTGGCGACTCCAAAAAAGGCGAATCCTTCAAGCAGCGCAAGCCGGACAAGCAGATCCTGGAGCATGACCGGAGGCGCGCCATCGAGGTCAAGGTGCTGGAAGAGCGGGAGCGGCTGGAAGAGGAGAATGAGCGGATTGAGGAGGAGCTGAAGAAGCAGAAAAAATCCAAGGGTGACAAAGACAGGGTCCCCCTCTCGGAGGAGGAGATCGAAGAGCGATGTAATGCTCTACGCCAGAAACTCCTTAAGGAGCTGGAAGATGAGCTTGCTGGACGCCATAACCTTGATGACGACGAGGTCAGATATGATCGGCGACGGGGACGCGGCGATCCAGGCCCACCGCCCCGAGAAAGGAGGCAGTTCAAGTCGTACCAGGTGCACGAGCTTGCCGAGGCAAAGATGGAGGAGACTGAGCGTCTCCGTAAGGCGCTGGGTATCAAGGAAGATTGGGAGAAGGAGGGGGATCTTTATAATCAAGATAGGAAGAATCGGGACAAGGAGAGAGACAGAGAACGAGAAAGGGAAAAGGAAAGGGACAGAGAGCGCTACTGAAAAAAGGCAGTAATACCAACCTCATTACATTCGGAAACGTTCAATTCTATTTTTGACGATGTCGAACGGTTACGACGGACGAACTCGGTTCTTCTGACTTTCGGATTCCAGGATTGGGGCATTGTACAGGCGTTCTGAAGGAGTTATTATTACACAATAAGACAGAGACAGACAAACAGCTTAATTACGAACCTGATACACAGTGTATTAATATCCCAGTAACAGAATATGGGAGAAAGACCCGTTCCTATTTCCAGTTTTATGTACCAAACTCCTTGTATAGTATCCACACATAACTACTTGAATGAGTCTATATGTATACGTGTGAAAGAAATCCCGAATCTCATCTCACGTGAGGAACTTTTCAATAACCCAACCCTCTTTCTTATCCTTCACCTGGACGACCTTCTTCGCTGGCAGCGGCCACCCTGTACTGCCGGGATCGCCCACCAGAGACGGAACGACCCAGCATTCGCGCCGTTCGGGAATTCCTCCCAGGTGCTCGATCTTCCCGATCGGTTTGCCGTACTCGATCAGAGGCGTCCCGTGGGCGAGCGCAGAGAGCTGCAGCCCGCTTGGTGCTACGAGCGGGAACATCCGGATCTTCGGCACCGTGTTGTCGGAGATGACCGAAGGGCTGGATTGCTGGAGGTGGGAATAGACCACGTATTGCGGCATCTCGTTGGGCGAAAGATGGGCAAGCAGGGAGGATGGGTGCACGTAGACGGCCTTTTTGTCGAGCTCAACCGCTCGGCCTTCGCGCGACCGGAAGAGTGTCAGATATGGCACGTCGATGGCCCGCTTCGGCTTGCGAGGAATCTCTGGCGGGACGGGTGCGAGATCGGCACGAATAGCGACGTTGTCGATGAAGCCCGCCGTGACGATCTGCTTCAAGGCTTTGAGCTGTTTCTCTGTCGGCTCGGGAAGTCGAGCCTCATACGCCCCAATCACGCCGGGGTTGTTCGCGCGCACGATGTCGGTCAGCTGACGGCGAAGCTGAGACGCTTCTTTTAGCCCTTTAGCCCGCAGGAACATCTGGTTGCAGAAGGACTCTTCATCGGAAGCGTAGGCGTATGCGCACACCGCAGACATATACTTCAGTGCGTCGCAGGTATCGTCGTGTTTGCTGAACAGACGATGGGCCCTGCTGTAGGCCTTGCGACGAGCCTCCCGAGCCGTATCTTCCAGACGGTCTGCGTTCGTGTAAACTTCGTCATCGTCCTTGTCTTTGTTCTCGTCCTGGCTCGACGATGACATGTCGACCTGACTCTCTGGAATGAAGAGTTCTCCCACAGCGAGTGCAGAGACAAGGGCGATAACATACGGCATGCAACCATGCTGATGGCCGATCTGCAACATTTTTCCAAATCTGGGGGAAAGGGGATATGTGGCCAAGCGGTGTCCGATCTCCGTGACTTGGCCATCAGGCGAAAGAGCCCCAAGGTTTTTGAGAAGCTTTTCTGCCTTTGCCAGTCCCTCACGACTTGGTGGTGTCGGGAAAGGGAAATTAATGACGTGGTGCAGGCCCATACTCTTCATTTGAAGGACAACACCTTCGATGGGAGTCCGCAGAATCTCCGGATCTGTATATTCTGGGAATGCCGACTCATAAATTGCTGAAGAATACAGCCGGTAACAGTGACCCGGTCCCGTTCGCCCAGCTCGTCCAGCTCTCTGATCTGCGCTGGCCTTGCTGATCCAGCCGATCTGGAACGTCTGGACTCCGGTGAATAGGTCATATTGCTTCTCTTTGGATCTCCCACAATCGAAAACGTATCTGATCCCTGGAATTGTAAGACTTGTTTCGGCAACGTTCGTGGCCAGCACTATGAGTCTTGAGCCTTCTGGAGGCGGCTCGAAGACCTTCAATTGCTCTTTCGTGGGTAGTTGGGAATACAACGGCAACACATGAACTCGAGTCGAGGAATCCATGCTTTCCTCACCCAGGTTAAATTCTTCATCGTCGATTTCATCGTCGTCAAGACCGGTGATCTCTACCTCACTGCCATCCTCGTCTTCTTCAACCCCTCTGGAGGTTTCAACATCTGGACCAGCCAGATCCAGGTCTTCAGTTTCGAGCGGTGCGTCTACAGCTGATATCTGGACTTTACCCTGTACACTTTCACCGCGCTGAGTCGGCTTGAATGTCTGCTTCAGTCGCTTCTCCAAGTATCTGATCTCATTTTGCCCAGTTAAGAAGACAAGCATTCCGCCTGGAGGAAGTTTGCGGTGCCCCCTGGAAACCTTTCGAAACGCTTCTTCGACATAGTCGCGGTGTGTTCGCCGGGAGAAATGAATTGTAACAGGATACTGTCGACCTTCTGCTTGCACCAAGGGCGGTGGCCCGTGCCGGAAAAGATGCGTATTTTGTGTGAAATCTGAAATACGCAATGTGGCCGACATGATGACAAGCTTTAGTGGCTTCACGTTTGGATCTTCTTTGGCCATGGATTTCCGCAAGTCAACGATGCGGCTCACCATTCCGATCAAGATATCAGTGTTGACACTTCGCTCGTGAGCTTCATCTATGATGATGATGGAGTATTTGCTCAGAGAAAAGTCCTTCGCGATTTCACGGAGGAGAATACCATCAGTCATGAATTTGATGGCTGTTTTGTTGGAGACAGTCGTATCGAAACGAATCTGATAGGAGACTTGGTCCGCGAACTGCCCAAGTTCGTCACTCACTCGTTTTGCCATACTGACAGCCGCAACCCGGCGAGGCTGAGTGATTCCAATCATACCCGGATTGGGACTCTCGGGGTTACCATAGCCGGCTTCGAACAGAAACTGCGGCAGCTGTGTTGTTTTGCCGCTTCCAGTGGCTCCCCATATTACAACCGAATCATTGTTGTGTATAGCCTCCATAATCTTCTGCTCTTCTCCCACAACGGGTAATTGTAGTCGGGCATTCTGGACCTCTTCTGGACGATTCACCTGAACACTGAACGCTTTGCGATCCGGGTCTCCCTTGGTTGGTTGCAGCTCCGGAGGCAAAGGCTCCTCTTCGTAGACAGTATTCCTGGGTGTCTTTCCCTTCCGGACTACAAGTTCAGCAGAGGCTGGCAGCTGTTCTGTGAGCGGCTGGCCAGCTGAGGGCTGGAACCCTACAGCCTCATTAATCTGCTGCGTAGCCCACTCCTTGAATGCAGAATTCCGAGGACGAATCCGTTTAGGACCTTCCAGGTCTTCCTCGTTCTCATCTTCTTCCATATCTTCATCTTCACCTTCACCTTCATCCTCATCCTCATCTCCAGTCTCACCTCCAGTCTCACCTCCAGCCTCATCTTCTGTTGCCTCTTCTTCCTCCTGGGAGGCATTCTCCTTTTCAGAACCTGTATCACTATCTTCGCTATCTTCACTCTCGGAATCTCTGGGTGACTGATCAACTTCATTATTTCCATCGGGTTTGGCTTCCTCATCTTTTTCTTTTTCTTCTTCGGAATCAAAGCCTTCCCAGGGAAGTTCGACAGTCGGCTTAGTCTTCCGTTTCTTCCGTTTCTTAATAACGGGAAATCCGTCCTCTCCGATCTCAAGCGGCCGTTTCAGACCAATACCTATTTGAGGTTGGACTGTCTGCTTCTGTAGACCAGAATTTGCATCGGCAACAGAAGTGGTCTGCGCGTTTGACTTCGATTCAAACTCATCATCAGAAAGATCGGATTCGGAGGTGAACTCCTCTTCATCCTTGGCGGCAACTGCCTGAGAGGAAGAGCGCTTAGAGTTTTGTATTTTCTTTCTCCCCAGGTCCTTCGAGCTTCGCAGATTGGAGGTGTCGACTTTGGCTTGCGCGAGTTTCTTCAGCAGTTCTAGACTTTCCTCTTTTTTCAGTTTGTTCTCCTACGCTGCGAATTAGTAAAAAGTACATCCATGGAGAGGGACGACTTGTCGGAGACTCCGTACAATATATTTCTCCAGGCGCTTCTTTTTCTTCGAGGACATCTTCGGTTGTTGCACCCGCAGCTCTTCTCTCAGCTTCTGGCGCCTTGCCTCTTTCTCCGCCTTGGAGATGGGCATTATTTCGGCGACATTTGTGTCCACCGGCGCGGCAGCGGACTGACTGTCCTGCTGCCTGCGCTTGTGCTTGCGCTCACGAGGCGTGTATTTCGCCATTGTCGTTTAAATTAAAAGAGTGGTCAAGCTGGCGATCACACGACGGCGAACAGGCCTGCTCAAAGATTTCTGATGAAAAAATGGGCCGATTTCGAGGGGCGGACAAATTCTGCCGGGAAGCGGTTGGAAGGCGGCGCGTGTTGGCTCACCGCCTTTGTTCACCGCTTTGGCTGTACTGACTACTCACATCTTGGTAGATCTTATCGTCCATTGATACATGCGTTCAATGACTGGTTTCAAGCTATTGAATGATTCTAGGTAGACCATTCCTTACGATCCCTCAATCTCAGTCTATCTCAAGATATGGCAGAACCACTCAATCTCAACAGCTTCCACGAGGTGCTCAACCTCCCCTTCCCCGCAGCCACAAAGCAAGCGGCGGGGTTGGTGAACGGCGTTTTGACGGATGTCATGGTGGTCAATTTTAGCGATAAGATCCTCGTGGCTATATCCCAGCATGGACGATTAGCCCATTGGGTGCGTATGCCTTCATAATTTAAAAAGGAAGAATTTTAGATACTGACAATTCGAAAGATCCACGTGCCATTAGAAAACATCAACCCTGGGACCAATGGCTTTCATACTTTGCCGGATGGGGAGGAAGACAGTCTCCTGCCCCTGCCTAATCTCACCGCCACGACTCTACTTGGTGGTCATGCTCCAGGGCACGAGACAATCAACCAGCTGTACGCTCGTCAAATCGGCAGCGCTATTGCAACGAAAACCCCCAATGAGAAGAGAGTGCTCGTTGTGGGGTTAGGGCTGGATAGGCCCCAGGCTGACAGAGATACGTTTTTCGCTATTCTCGACCTCGTGCTGCAATGTATCTGAAGTATAACTGCAATGCTTGGATGTGCGATTTGTTTGCAGTCGAGCTCCTGTCTCGCGAGAGCCAATGAGTTAACCTTGGTAATGGCCTCGCGCTCGTCTCTGACTGTGCAGGATTCGGTGACCCCCAGTAACTTGAACTCGCCAGTAAAGAGTCACTCAGAAAGCTTCCCATTATGCGGGTCCTCGGAATCTTCTAACCAGGTCCGATATTGAGAGCCAGAGACGAATCGTCACCAGCTCTTTTCTCTCAATACCAGGTTCTCAATGCTCATAACAGCCTTCTCCGGTATGTCGAGATTCGGGCGGGACAATCCAAAAGTGAAGAAAAAAGGTTGATGCGATCAAATCAGAGGTGGAAGATGTTCTTAGGACAGAAGGGCTGCTCTGGTGCATGAACTACTCGATGGCTGCCTCTTTAAACACGATTGGGCTGGAGCCGTCGGAGGGGGAAAAAAAGGTCTTGCATGGAGAGGCAAGCACACTTTCACATGGAACAAAAAGAGCCAAGGCAAGAGCAAGTTGAACATCATTTATATTATAAGGAACTTCCGTGTCGCATATTAAACAAATTAGATTTTTCCTCGGAGAATCCGCTTTTCTGTGATCAATATATTTATTGTACAGGGTGGGTTTTAATATCCAAGTGATCGACCTCCAGACTCTCTCCGACTCCCTGATGATAAGAAAGAAAGAAAGAAATATATATATTTTAATCAAATGTTTTCAAACCAAATAGGTAGTCATTTCCACATTAAAAAAATGAGAGAAAAAAAAGGGACAAAAAAGGGGGGAGTCTATGTATGTACTTGAACCATCTACAATACACTCCACTCATCACTGTCACAAGTGATTATTACTTCATGGACTGATTGTCTGTCTCTCGCTTCGGATAGACAGAGAGCAAAAAACAAAACCACAGGGGGAATCTTTAACTCTCAGAACGTTCGTTCATAAAGGCACGCACTCGTCATCAGGATCAATTCAAGAGAGCATCGAGAATAGAAGTAATTGGGGTCATGTATGTAATCGGTGTCAAAGGCAATTCTTTCAATCGCGAGCAAATATTATACAGTATTCTCGCGCGTGCCATACGCGTCTCGTCTTCATGACGTCCACTCCAAACGTATCGGCTGGAGGGGTATTCCCGTCATGCACGACTTGCGCACTTACTTTGTGGCCATGTTTTGATTGTGACCCCTCGGGTGTCGTGTTTTCCTTGCCGTGAGAAGGCGGCTTGATGATCCTGACTTCCTCCACGCTCGCTCCGATTTCGTATTCTCCTCTACAGAGGACCGTCACGCCGAGTGTTACCTCCGTTGTCTGACCCCCTTCCAAAACAGGAAGGACCCGCTGTAACATGCCGGTCCAGGCAAGACGTCTCGAGAGATCAAGGGCAATTGTGCTGGGCTGGTTACAAAGTCCGGGCTGCAATCGAAGCAGCGGGTGTATGGGCCTCGAGGATCGGTTGTGGATCTTCACACTCAGAGTTAGGAAGTCATTTGTCTTGACAACGTATTTCGACCGTCTAGTCTGAGTCACGGCGCCATCCTTGCCATGAAGAGGAGACAACGAGAAGGTCACTTCGACGTCTTCGAGGCGCATCGCATCCACCATTCGCGGGTTCAGTCGGATACTCCGGAAGTCAACTCTGCCTTCTCTTCCCGTCGCTTCTTCCTTCCACACCCCAAATACACGTTTGAGAAGCTCTTCCCGATACCAGAATGCCTCTCTAGATGCCGCTTCAGCCTCGAAGGACAGTTTGGTGGCGCTCACTACGAATTGCCTCCTAAACCCGGTGTTTAAGAATGGTATAGCGGCGTGAGGGTTGTCCAGGAAGATCCTCGGCAGCACAAGGATAAATCGGGATATCTGGCCCGGCTGAAGATCTCCAGTGACAGTGGAAGAACCATCGCTAGCTTCATCCGAGCTGTCTGTGTCCGCGCGAGGGTGTTCACTGACATGCAGTGTCACAGAAAGAGGATTTGGCCATGCGTTACGAAGGTCAAGTATCATGAGGCAATGATCCGAACCGTATGGCTCAACACCAAGACGCGGAAGCATAGATGTGAACTGAGCGATGCCACTCTCCAGTGAGGACAGCGACGTTGATTTCTCGTCATCACTGGAAGAGTGCGACTTCTGATGATTCTGGTTAAACCATGCAAAATCACCTGTGAGAGGAACGATATCACAGCGAGTCACCTCCACACTGGCGTTCACAGTAACCATGATAGGAAGTGAAAGTTGCCTGGTATAAAATGTTTCCGGAATATCATCGCGAGGAGTCCCGAGGTGACAATAATCTATCTGGACAACCGCATCCTGCAAGCCCGGTTTGCCGAATACCTCCACGGTGAACGTAGCCTTCTGACCCGGGGCAATCATGACATCCTCAGGGTTTGTTCCTTGGCGCCGCCACCGTAATGACGGTTTTGTGGACAGTTGAAGTTCCAGCTCATAGATCTCTGGAGGCAACAGATCTTTGTTGCTCAAGGCGGACTGCAGTTGACGTGTGGTAGAATCCTGAAAGGTGAAGAGTACAAAATCAACAGGACAGGAGGAGGTGTTTTGCAAGGTGACATCGAAAGATCTCGTTTCTCCTTCCAGAACCATTACCGCAGATTGAGAGAGCGAAGTTGACTGCACGATGACGGTGGGCTGCGGATTGATGACCTTTAGTGAGCACGTAGCTGTTTCAGGCCCCAGTTTGGCCACCACTTTTCCATCTTTCGAAGTCGTCGAACTCCAAGACAAGGGCCGTTCTGTAAGGGGTTTTTTGGCTGCCAGCCCAGTGCGCTTGAGTTTCTTCTCGGGCTCGGGCTTCCAAAGCTTTGCGAAGATGGGAAACTTCCTTCGTCGACAATGGCGGACCTTGACGATGCAGCCAGTAATAGTAAGGGTCCCTTCGGTGTGGGCTACCCCAGGAACAAGCACTTCTTGCAAGGAAAACGGAGGAACCCAGACACCGAACACCTCCGCCTCCAAGACACCGCCTTCGCTGTCAAGGCGTAGACTTTCGATTTCGAGGTCGAACTCGTAGGGGTTTTGGAGAATGACTTTGAACGTCGCAGATTCTTTGGCTATCAGCAGTGACTCGGACGCTTTGCCGTTCAACTTGGAGAATGGACTGTATAAGAACGGCTCCTGTTTCGATTTATCGACAGGTACCGTGCTCAAGTCCTTCTTTGATCGACGGAAGGGTCTCTTGGACTCAGGGAACTCCATCAACTCCACGCCACGGACAAGAAAGTCGTCCCAGTATTCCGCCTCGAGACCTACAGCTCCTAGCTTATGGGCCGCACCAACTGTGCGTTTGATGTTGTTGAGGAGGCGAATTTGTTCGTCTGGCGGTAAAAGCGGAGGAATTCGAGACGTTTCGGGAAGCATCAGATCGCCACGTATCGTCTGAAGAAGCTCAACCGTGTATTGAAGGACACCTTCGAAATCTGGAAGTGCCTCGCAGAGGTTGATGGAGGCTTTCAGGATATCGATTTTCAAGTTTAAGTCCCCATAACCATTTAGCGTAACGTGACGGAATGAGCGCTCAACAATTGCTGCAACCGAGTCATAGTCAGAGTCGCTTATAGCCGACACAGGTCTGTTTCTTTTGTGCTCGTGATATGCTGACGGCTGCACACCATATGTCTCTCCGATCATGCTGAGGAGAGCGCGAATACTTGCTTCCATGTTGCCATGACCTATGTCGAGAGCATTTATATCAAATGAGGTATCGCTGAGGGATGACAGGCCGGCGGCGGGATGGATTCCAACTTCAGCGGCGCCAATTTTACGAGCCTCCACCAGACTGGGTATCATGATCGAGAGCAATTCTTTTAGGACAAATGCTTTTTCCTTGGGAGGTCCAAGGCAGAAAGGACAGAAGCAATGCCGACTAAAATAGGTACCGCATCCGTGGCTGGCATATCAGAGCTCGGCGAAGGTGGTAAAGCACGGAAGAGAAAATTTGCAATCTCACTCTTTCGCAGGAGAGGCGCTCCACGCGGACGCTCTGGTTGGTGCAAAGGTATCAAAGGCTCATTCATAACGATATGCTCCAGTGCGTTGTCATCTAGATTCCCATCCCGTATACGGATAGCAGTTAACAATCGCGACAAGCGTATCACCGTTTCGGAAAATACCAACGGTGGCAGAGGCTCGTCCGTTATGGCAGCTGCGCGGTTATATAAATTTATGATATTGTTGCAAAGATCGGGTAGGAGATTCGCCAGATTTTGCAATGAGACGACTCTATTTCCCGGAGTCGTTTGAGCTGAACTGGTGGTATCGCCGCTAGTGTATGAGGATTTTGAACCTGATTTATCGGCAACCGGATAACAAACTTGAGGTATCTAATCAACGCCAGTCAGTTTCCAACGTGGTGAAGACGACAACGGAAACACAGAAGAGCATAATATCAATACCTGGAAATCCATTCCAGCCCAGCCAAGCATCAGCAGACACAGCAAAATCGATTCAAGAGCCTTTCCGTGCCACACATAGTCACTGCCGGCTCTGGCCATTGACGCCGCTTCCACCAGTTCCTTCAAAGCATCGGGCCATCTGCCCGATTGAAGGTATAAAGTGCCAATTACGACACCTAGGCGTCCTTTGATCCTATTCTTGGTTCGGTCGGCCGCGCTCATTCCCTGGACAGACATCCGATCACGACTAGTCTCTTTCGAAGACGGTTGTTTCCCGGTGGAATTGGAACGGTTGGCGAGTTGGATGGAGCGAGTGATTTCATCAAATGTGGTAGGTGACTCGTGTCCACCCGGGGCAGGAGAAGATCGACCAGAACTTCCTGCAGACTCGGAACCCCCGTTGGGAGCGGACGGAAGTTGAGCCGGCATGGTCATCCTATGCATGAGCTTGTCAAACAGACGTGGTCGAAGCTCCGGACCTCGACGAGGACCCCATGATGAGGCTCTTGGAGACTCGATTGCCGGAATGCTCTGCATGAGCTTTGCAAATTGGTCCAGTTCACCCAGAAGCAAAGATGTTATATCACACAGAACCGTCTTCATCGTTGTCGGTCTCGACGCCTGAGGACTTGGAACCCAAATTACATCCTCCGGACCACTGAGCAACTTATCCAGACCATCATATTCAAACACGAGCAGTTGGCAAACCAAAGCTTTTGGGTTCTGTTCCTTCACCGACGATAGCTCCTGCAGGAGGTCTTTCAACCCTTCCGGGCTCGGAGGCGTGTTCACACCAGCATCTTTCTTTGGACTGGACTGGTTTTTACCCGGGCGCTCCTTCGTATTATCTTGAAGTTCGGCGCCATCAGCAATTGCTAGGACCACTAAGGGCTCTCGAAAGATCTCGAACGGAAACAACTCAAGATGGGATATTGGTGGAACGGAGAAGGACAGGTCATATAGAATCATTCCATTCGGAAAGGCCAATGGAGTAAACATGTCTGACGAGTCAGCTTCCCTCATCACCTGCCTCTTGGACATTTGGACATACTTCGGTTTGGCCGCGGATCGGGACTGACGTCCCCCAAGCGGACGACATTTTCGGCTTGGATCCGTGCAGCAAAACTGAGGAACCGAGAGCGCTTGATTCTCCCAACAGGGAGCAGAAGCACATTGAGGCGCGCAGGTGCGACAGGGGACAGGGGATCAACTCCCATGGTGGCATCTAGTCCGCTCTGCGGAGGCAGTCCGTGATGCGCACAAGACTGCTTCCACAACGGGTTGCAGGCTTCTAGAAGTCATGTGGAGGAGCCATAGACCCAGGAGAAAATCATGCACAATAATCCAAAACCTCCATAAATTAGATTAAGATGACAGGTGGAGCCAGCAAACGGCCTCCAGAACTATGTACACCGACCAGCGCGCTATGATTGCGCTCCGATCAACAGACGCCGAGCTGCGCGGGTGGTCGCTGCCGGGCGCCGGAAGCTGCCTCAGGCGCAAGGCAGCCACATCCAGGTACCAAGGTACCAAGGCACCACTGATAGGCGATAGGACGAGTCTTGTAATCTCCGACAAGCGCGCGTATCATCGATAATCATCAAGAGCACGCTCTCCGGGTGATGGCGTTGCTCTTTCGCCATCTCCAGAATCAAGACTGGGCGGCAACGTCGTTGGCCGGGCTCCTTTGAAAACCCTTCTTTTGCTCTTTCGAACTTCTGGTCGTATTTATATGTCGTTTTATTGTTGAGCCTTGGCCATCTACTGCCACCGCCCGCTCCATGTTCTGCCTTGGTGGCAGCCTCGTCATTTTCAGCTGAACGTAATAACTCCTTTGTTCCTGTGTGGGAGCCCGGATATCAGTTGTTACCGTTTAAGAAACTGCTTGCAAGATGGCGCAATCTATCGACTTCAATGCGCTGAAGGCGCGGACCATGGGCTCTGGCAATGATGAGGAGGCCGTCACCGTTGATACTCGCGGTCTGATTGCGAAGGTGCTTTCGCGCTATTCGGGGAAATGGTATCTTATGGCATCCATGTTTCTGTGCCTCCTAGACGGTGATTCTAACACGGCATGTTTACAGGACGGTCCTACGAGAGATGATCCAAAACGCCGCGGACGCTTCCGCTACGCGGGTGACTATCAAGTTCGAGACGTTGCCCTCTACCACCGTGCCCATCCCTAATCCTGCTGACCCGACAGCGATGATCAAGCATGTTATCGCTCATCATACCCTCAAGCGACTGCTGATATCAAACAACGGACACCCATTCAATGAAAAGGACTGGGCCAGACTCAAGCGGATTGCGGATGGTAATCCGGATGAGACCAAGATCGGGGCCTTTGGAGTTGGATTTTACAGCGTTTTTGATGACTGCGAAGAGCCGTTTGTCTCTTCGGGTGGCGAGGCTATGGCCTTCTATTGGAAGGGGAATGCTCTCTTCACGCGGCGTCTCAAACTGGAACAGGTGGATTCTAGCCCGGACACCACCTTCGTTCTTGACTACCGCAATAACTCTTCTCCAGTACCTGCTCTGATGGAGCTTTGCCAGTTTCTCGCTACCAGTCTCACATTTGTCGGTCTCGAGAGTATAGATCTCTGGCTAGATAACTGGAACCTACTAAGGCTTACAAAGAAAACTGCTCCCAGTGAGGCCATCGCCATCCCCAGGGACATCGACACCAAAACTCCAGAGGGTCTCATGAAGATTTTGGGCGTGACAAGAGAAGTTGCTCAAGTGGACGCCGTTTGGATGAAGGCGGTTGAATGGATCCCACAGGCTACCTCATCATTCCGCCTGGAAGGTCTTCGAGACACTACCAGTTCTCTCCGTTCTTTCTTCTCTAGATTCACAGCATCTTCATCCAGTCACTCGTTGGATAAGCAGGCAAAGCTCGAGAAAATAGAAAAACCGGTGGAGGAAGAGGATTTGACTAACATGTCTACTGCTTCTGTCTTCCTGCATATCAACACCGCGTCCATTCAGGCATCTATAAGCTCCTCCTTAAGCAGTGAACTTGAGCGGGCCACGCGGAAACCGCCACCCAAGCGGACGACAATCGCTATCCTCACGCCGTCCTACGCTGCCAATGTTACTTCGAAACAGTCAGAAATCCTGGCCTCTGTCCTTCCCTCAAAGTCGGGGAGAGTCTTCATAGGATTTCCAACCCATCAAACGACTGGTCTCAATGCGCACATATCAGCGCCGTCAGTCATCCCAACTGTTGAGCGAGAGAACATTGATCTCAATACGCGATATATTAGCAAATGGAATCTGGAGATGCTTAGAGCGGCGGGTATTGTATGCCGAATCGCCTGGTCTGCCGATATGCACTCTATTAAATCCAGAATTATTCCGGGAGGTCCGCAACGCAGCTCAAAAGTTCGTAAAGAAGACATCGTCAGCCTGATTCCAGAAGCTGTCCACACAGCAAATCAGTTTGTGTTTCGCGAGTCTACACCGTCTTCACTGCTGGGGCAGACAATAGAAGATTCATTTTGGATGTGCAACAAGAATGCATCAATCGAAGTCTTGTCGACTTGTGGAGTTTTGCCAAGTCACCAAGTTCGCATTGCCCCAAAGGACCTAAGTTTCATGGATGGCATACCTGTCCTTCCTGACGATCTGATCAATAAATCTAAAGACTTCGTTAAGAAGTTGACGGACTTTGGTCTTGTGACGGAGATCACAGTGTCGGACATCAAACGGGAGCTCGAACGCAGTGCTCTAACCTCAACACAACTAGGAGAATTTCTTTCCTGGCTTGGAAAACGATCAGCGGCCGGCGAGCTGGATCCGCCCACCGTACGAACTCTGCTTAACGTTGCAGTCGCAAATGATGAGGCCACTGACGGCAATTCCGGTCGTTTGCTTGTCATGGCAGAGATCGATAGCTACCTGAATCCCAACCGAATACCAGCGGATCTGCCCTTGCCACCTTCTGTCATGCCATTCAAGTATACAAAGGCTTTGGAAAAGCGCGAGTTGGATGCTCTCGGCTGGGTGGAATTGCAGATAGTGCCCTGGATCCGGTGGCTCGTTGAGAATGCCGGTAATCGAAATGTCCTTCCGGTCGAGAAAGACTTGACTCGGACGCCTTCGTTCTCCGCACAGGTCCTGCCTGTTTTGTCAAAGCAGTGGGAATCTTTGAGCCAGTCTTCGAAGCAAACAGTGGTCAATCTCTTACAACCACGGACTGTCATCCCAGTGAAAGATGGAATGAAGAGACCTGGAGAAGCATATTTCCCAACTGTTCGTCTTTTCGACGATCTGCCTGTAGTGTCTGGTCTTTCCGGTGTCAAAGACAAGTTTCTTATGGCTCTTGGCGTCCGCAAGACCGTTGAGCTCGGTGTCATTTTTGAGCGGCTCCTGGACGATACGGAACCTATTGACAAGGATGGCAACCCGAAGAGAAAGTGGAGTCACGTTGACCTCATCAAATATCTTACCTCTGTTCGAGAGGATATTCCTGCCAGTGATATAGAGAGGCTCAAGAATACGAAAATATGTACCGCAGAGAAAACGGAGGGGCGTGAAACTCAAACCCAGATGCGGTATAAGATCTCAGAGCTCTACGAACCCAAGGATTCCCTTAGGAAGCTTGGTCTTCCCGTTATCGAATGGCCTGGAAAATACTTACCTCACAGCAAAGAAGGACAATTTCTCACCACCTTGGGACTGAGGAGATACCCGACAGCTCTTGAACTCATCCAAATCATGGCTAGGGCTGCAGCAGAGGATGACCTCGCACTCCAAGGCAAGGCCATGTCCTACTTTATTACTGAATATCACACAAACGGTTATGCTGCATTTGATAGTAGTCAAGTTACCACTCCTTATCTACCGGTGGATGGATCAAACCAATTGAGTACCCCGAACAATTGCTTCACTCATGACGGTGCGGCGCTGTTTGGTTTCAACATCCTGAGAAGGGATCTTCATCCTCATGCCACGAAGTTTGGCGTTAGAGAGCATCCTCCAATCACCGAATGCGTGAATATCTTAGTGAAGAAGCCTCCGGTGACGACGAGGGAAGCAAGGAATTTATTTTCTTACATGGCTGGGAGAACAGCAGAGCTAAGCATGACAGATAAAACTCGCCTTAGTCAGGCACCGATCGTCCCTATTCAGACTGGTTCGATCTCCGAGAAGGCACCGCTTGTCCGTCATGTGGAACCAAGGCTCTGCTACCTTGGAGACAGCGATGATTATGGCGATATATTCGATTTCGTCGATTTTGGCCAACCAGCAAATGTCTTCCTTATGGCAGTTGGATCAAAGCAGGAGCCGACTAAGGTCGAAGTTGCTCGCATTCTGGTGAAGGAGCCCGCCAGAATATCTTCCAAATTCCAAAATCCGGACAAATACCTGAATCTTCTGAGAAGCCTTGCTGAGAACATGGCCGTCCTACGGAAGCACCGAGACTTGTTCAATGATATGAAAAAGTCACCGTTTCTTCTCGCCAGTAGAGAGCTTCCTTCGCAGTCTCGCAAGAGCGCTCAGACTTCGCAAGGGGACATTGACGAGAACGATGATACATTTGAGGATGATGAACAAGGAATCAAAGAGTGGCAGTTGACTGCAGCGAGTAATGCCGTCGTCGTTGATGATTATCAAAGTTTCACACTCTTCAAGGAGCATGTCCTTGCTGCGCCGCAGGAGGAAGTCCTGGAGAAATTCTATGTAGCGCTCGGGACGCCATTATTGAGCAGTATTGTTGTGGAACAGGCTCACTGGGGTGCTAAGGCGTCGGATCAGCGGCCAGCGGCTAAGCTCCAGAAACTTATCAACGAGCGGACCCGACTTTTCCTTCATGATCAGACCCCGGATTCTATAAGGCACGATACGAAATGGCTGGAGAAGCATCTTGGCATACAAGTTGTGCATTCGATTTCTCTTCGGCGATCTCTCAAGAACAGTCGAGTGTCACACAACCAAAAGCGCAATGCCATCATCACACAGCAGGGCGGCGATTGGACGTTGTGGATCAGTCCGGGGAAGTTCGATTTATACGAGATTAGCCAAGCTCTTGTTCATCTGCTTCTTATAAGACCTAAGCTGCACTCGACGCTTACATTGGAGATGTTATTGAAAACTGATTTATACGAGCTCAGAGCAAGAGGTTATAACGTTGAACGGATCCTTCGACAGAGGGCTGCTGAGGCCCGGATGGCTGAGGACCAACGTCAGAAGCAGTTAGAGGAAGAGCGCAAGCGTCTTCAAGAAAGAGAAGCAGAGTGGCGGAAGGCCCAGGAACAAGAAATAGAGCATCGAAAGTCTCAGAATTCCATGCCTGGACTGTTCCCAGACTCGCCCTCAAATACAAAGTCTCATGAAGAGGAGCATGCTGAGAATTTGGATGTTGTTGATCATGATTTCCAACCCCGGAATTTGTTCTCCAATCTGACCAGACGTCTTGGGCTAGATGACAACAGGAAGTCAAACCCATTTCAGTCGCTGTTCCAGAGTCGATCGTCTCAGCATGAGGCCATCGAGACTGAGAGGGTTGCTACTCCTCCGCCACCTTATTCGACGGAAGATCCTCAGAAGCGGAAACCCAACGAACCCAGGGCCGTTACCTCTCCACATCAACTACAACACAACCTGCTGTCCGCCATTCAAGCTTGTCGGCCCCATGGGGCTTCTGGGGTCTACAGTCGTCCTGTGACGAACCAAGTCATCGAGACCAAATCCTACTGCGATGAGCAACCCAGCCATGATCTTGAGTTTGCCGCAACGCTCCCTTCGGGCATTAACGTCTTGATGGCAAGGTCTGTCAGTGACCGGTCTGCCTTTCTCGCTGAGAATTCAATGGGCATCAATGCCTTTGCAACATTGTTGGGAGAGTGTGCGAGCGTGTTTGTGGTGCGAGTCGACAGCATCAGCATTTTCTATGATCCTGGTGGCAAGACGATTGCCTTCAATCGCGCAGGGAGTCTCTTCTGCAACTACCTTTATTTCAAGCAGTTACACGAGACGAGACTATCCCAGGATCCGGTGAACGGCAGAGCAGAGGCCCTTGTGTACTGGTGGGTGATCCTATGCCATGAGTTGGCACATAATCTTGTGGAGGATCATAGTTCGGATCATAGCTATTACACGTGAGTTCTTTCTTTGACAATTTCTTTTTTGACTGCAGGTGGTGCTAATGCTTTAATAGCGAGGGTTTCGTAGTCCAATACTTTCAGAAAGTGGCCCAGAGGCTCAGCATGAGCCCATCCGCGTGATGTTGTGATGATTCTGCTGCGATCTGCTGCGATATATAGTTGTACTGCACTATACCCATACACTGGACGGCGTCTAGGGTTTGAATGGGCATGATATTCTCTATCTGGTGGACTTTGTTGTGCTATTGGATATGTTATAGAATGATAATACTTTTGTATCCGCAGACATATGAAGTCATGTACTGCCCAATATGACTAGATGATACCATGGTCTTTACCGATCTTGCAACGTATGCTGTCCATGCTACCTATCTATTTAGGGGGGTGAGGGGCGATCGAAAAGGTTTCATCACTAGCTTGAGAAGGTCAGAGACCAAAGCCACAGCCATTGTTGAAGGCTAACGGCTTCAGGAACCTTGGAAGTATTGCCGCAGCGAGAGTGGTACGAAGTACCGGCTCGTCCATCCCTTGGGAACAAAGATTTGCGCTAAACGGGCACACGTATGGGTTGCAGTGGATGATTCGAACAATGAAATGGAATTGTGGCCAAGCAGCCATCTGAGGATGACGA